AGAAGGGACAGTGTGGTGCCCGGGTTCTCCTCAGACAGTTACTTACAGAAGGACAGACTCCTCAGACAGTTACTTACAGAAGGGACAGTGTGGTTCCCGGGTTCTCCTCAGACAGTTACTTACAGAAGGGACAGTGTGGTTCCCGGGTTCTCCTCAGACAGTTACTTACAGAAGGGACAGTGTGGTGCCCGGGTTCTCCTCAGACACTTACAGAAGGGACAGTGTGGTTCCCGGTTCTCCTCAGACAGTTACTTACAGAAGGGACAGTGTGGTGCCCGGGTTCTCCTCAGACAGTTACTTACAGAAGGGACAGTGTGGTGCCCGGGTTCTCCTCAGACAGTTACTTACAGAAGGGACAGTGTGGTGCCCGGGTTCTCCTCAGACAGTTACTTACAGAAGGGACAGTGTGGTTCCCGGGTTCTCCTCAGACAGTTACTTACAGAAGGGACAGTGTGGTTCCCGGGTTCTCCTCAGACAGTTACTTACAGAAGGGACAGTGTGGTTTCTCCTCAGACAGTTACTTACAGAAGGGACAGTGTGGTTCCCGGGTTCTCCTCAGACAGTTACTTACAGAAGGGACAGTGTGGTTCCCGGTTCTCCTCAGACAGTTACTTACAGAAGGGACAGTGTGGTTCCGGTTCTCCTCAGACAGTTACTTACAGAAAAGGTTCTCCTCAGACAGTTACTTAGAAGGGACAGTGTGGTTCCCGGGTTCTCCTCAGACAGTTACTTACAGAAGGGACAGTGTGGTTCCCGGTTCTCCTCAGACAGTTACTTACAGAAGGGACAGTGTGGTTCCCGGGTTCTCCTCAGACAGTTACTTACAGAAGGGACAGTGTGGTTCCCGGGTTCTCCTCAGACAGTTACTTACAGAAGGGACAGTGTGGTTCCCGGGTTCTCCTCAGACAGTTACTTACAGAAGGGACAGTGTGGTTCCCGGGTTCTCCTCAGACAGTTACTTACAGAAGGGACAGTGTGGTTCCCGGGTTCTCCTCAGACAGTTACTTACAGAAGGGACAGTGTGGTGCCCGGTTCTCCTCAGACAGTTACTTACAGAAGGGACAGTGTGGTTCCCGGGTTCTCCTCAGACAGTTACTTACAGAAGGGACAGTGTGGTTCCCGGGTTCTCCTCAGACAGTTACTTACAGAAGGGACAGTGTGGTTCCCGGGTTCTCCTCAGACAGTTACTTACAGAAGGGACAGTGTGGTTCCCGGGTTCTCCTCAGACAGTTACTTACAGAAGGGACAGTGTGGTGCCCGGTTCTCCTCAGACAGTTACTTACAGAAGGGACAGTGTGGTTCCCGGTTTTCTCCTCAGACAGTTACTTACAGAAGGGACAGTGTGGTTCCCGGGTTCTCCTCAGACAGTTACTTACGGAAGGGACAGTGTGGTTCTCAGGTTCTCCTCAGACAGTTACTTACAGAAGGGACAGTGTGGTTCCCGGGTTCTCCTCAGACAGTTATTACAGAAGGGACAGTGTGGTTCCCGGTTTCTCCTCAGACAGTTACTACAGAAGGGACAGTGTGGTGCCCGGGTTCTCCTCAGACAGTTACTTACAGAAGGGACAGTGTGGTTCCCGGGTTCTCCTCAGACAGTTACTTACAGAAGGGACAGTGTGAGTTACTTACCAGTGTGGTTCCTTCTCCTCAGACAGTTACTTACAGAAGGGACAGTGTGGTTCCCGGGTTCTCCTCAGACAGTTACTTACACAGTGGTTCCCGGGTTCTCCTCAGACAGTTACTTACAGAAGGGACAGTGTGGTTCCGGGTTTCTCCTCAGACAGTTACTTACAGAAGGGACAGTGTGGTTCCCGGGTTCTCCTCAGACAGTTACTTACAGAAGGGACAGTGTGGTTCCCGGGTTCTTCCTCAGACAGTTACTTACAGAAGGGACAGTGTGGTTCCCGGGTTCTCCTCAGACAGTTACTTACAGAAGGGACAGTGTGGTTCCCGGGTTCTCCTCAGACAGTTACTTACAGAAGGGACAGTGTGGTTCCCGGGTTCTCCTCAGACAGTTACTTACAGAAGGGACAGTGTGGTTCCCGGGTTCTCCTCAGACAGTTACTTACAGAAGGGACAGTGTGGTTCCCGGGTTCTCCTCAGACAGTTACTTACAGAAGGGACAGTGTGGTTTCCGGGTTCTCCTCAGACAGTTACTTACAGAAGGGACAGTGTGGTTCCCGGGTTCTCCTCAGACAGTTACTTACCCGACACTTCCCGGGTTCTCCTCAGACAGTTACTTACAGAAGGGACAGTGTGGTTCCCGGGTTTCTCCTCAGACAGTTACTTACAGAAGGGACAGTGTGGTTCCGGGTTCTCCTCAGACAGTTACTTACAGAAAGGGACAGTGGTGGGGTTCTCCTCAGACAGTTACTTACAGAAGGGACAGTGTGGTTCCCGGGTTCTCCTCAGACAGTTACTTACGAAGGGACAGTGTGGTTCCCGGGTTCTCCTCAGACAGACAGTTACTTATGTGGTTCCCGGGTTCTCCTCAGACAGTTACTTACAGAAGGGACAGTGTGGTTCCCGGGTTCTCCTCAGACAGTTACTTACAGAAGGGCAGTGTGGTTCCCGGGTTCTCCTCAGACAGTTACTTACAGAAGGACAGTGTGGTTCCCGGGTTCTCCTCAGACAGTTACTTACAGAAGGGACAGTGTGGTTCCCGGGTTACTCTCAGACAGTTACTTACAGAAGGGACAGTGTGGTTCCCGGTTTCTCCTCAGACAGTTACTTACAGAAGGGACAGTGTGGTTCCCGGGTTCTCCTCAGACAGTTACTTACAGAAGGGACAGTGTGGTTCCCGGGTTCTCCTCAGACAGTTACTTACAGAAGGGACAGTGTGGTTCCCGGGTTTCTCCTCAGACAGTTACTTACAGAAGGGACAGTGTGGTTCCCGGTTCTCTCAGACAGTTACTTACAGAAGGGACAGTGTGGTTCCCGGGTTCTCCTCAGACAGTTACTTACAGAAGGGACAGTGTGGTTCCCGGGTTCTCCTCAGACAGTTACTTACAGAAGGGACAGTGTGGTTCCCGGGTTCTCCTCAGACAGTTACTTACAGAAGGGACAGTGTGGTTCCCGGGTTTCCTCAGACAGTTACTTACAGAAGGGACAGTGTGGTTCCCGGGTTCTCCTCAGACAGTTACTTACAGAAGGGACAGTGTGGTTCCGGTTCTCCTCAGACAGTTACTTACAGAAGGGACAGTGTAGACAGTTACGTGTGGTTCCCGGGTTCTCCTCAGACAGTTACTTACAGAAGGGACAGTGTGGTTCGGGTTCTCCTCAGACAGTTACTTACAGAAGGGACAGTGTGGTTCCCGGGTTCTCCTCAGACAGTTACAGAAGGGACAGTGTGGTTCCCGGGTTTCCTCAGACAGTTACTTACAGAAGGACAGTCCCGGGTTCTCCTCAGACAGTTACTTACAGAAGGGACAGTAGACAGTTACTTACGAAGGGACAGTGTGGTTCCCGGGTTCTCCTCAGACAGTTACTTACGGAAGGGACAGTGTGGTGCCCGGGTTTCTCAGACAGTTACTTACAGAAGGGACAGTGTGGTTCGGGTCTCCTCAGACAGTTACTTACAGTGGAGACAGTTACTTACAGAAGGGACAGTGTGGTTCGCGGGTTCTTCTTCTCGAGTTCTGGGAGGAGCTTCTCGGCCACCCACTTCAAGTTACAGTCACAGTTCCACGGGTTGTCTTGGATGTCCACGTACTGGACGTTCATCCAAGGCAGCATGTTCTCGTTCAGCGTCGAGAGTCGGTTGTCCTGGAGGTGGACCTGGAGGGCGGAGTGAGACTTGAGGTGGACTTGAGTGGGAGTGTTAGAAGTATGTCAGTGTGCATATATACGTGTATGAGTATATGAATATATATACACATACATACATATATGCATATATATATATATATATATATATATATATATATATATATATATATATATATATATATATATATATATATATATATATATATATATATATATATATATATATATATATATATATATATGTGTGTGTGTGTGTGTGTTGTGTGTGTGTGTGTGTGTGTGTGTGTGTGTGTGTGTGTATGTATATGTATATATATATATATATATATATATATATATATATATATATATATATATATATATATAGAGAGAGAGAGAGAGAGAGAGAGAAGAGAGAAGAGAGAGAGAGAGAGAGAGAGAGAGAGAGAGAGAGAGAGAGAGAAAGAAAGAGAGAGAGAGAGAAAGAGTAACATAGATAGATAGACAGATATACTTAAACACACACACACATATATATATGTGTGTGTGTGTGCACAAGTTCGCGCCCCCTCGGCCCCTCACCTCCGTCAGCGTCTCCTTGGGGTCCAGCTGGTAGAAGGCCTCGTTGTCGATCACGAAGAGGTTCTGGCAGTTGGACAAGTGCAGAAACTCGAGGCTGTTGAGGTAGGAGAAGGCGTGGCGACCTATTGACTTCAGCTTGGGCATCGCGGACATGTCGAGTCTCCGGAGGCCAGAGCTCTTGTTGGTGAAGTCGCCCTCTTCTACGATCTGCGGAGGCCCGGGAATGACGGGGTTTAGGGGGTGGAGGATCAGAGTGATCATATGTGTGTGTGTGTGTGTGTGTGTGTGTGTGTGTGTGTGTGTTCGTGCTGTGGAATGACGGGGTTTAGGGGGTGGAGGATCAGAGTGATCATGTGTGTGTGTGTGTGTGTGTGTGTGCGTGCGTGTGTGCGTGCGTTCGTGTGTGTGCGTGCGTGTGCGTGTGCGTGTGTGTGTGTGTGTGTGTTTCTGCCAAAGTTCCCCATCACGAGCGTTCCCCGAAACCCACCTCGATGGGGTTGGCGTTGAGGTTGAGGTGCGTGAGCGAGCGAGCGTAGTTGATCTCCACCGGCACTTGCTTGAGGTTGTTCCCCGCTAAGGTCAGCACTTGGAGGTTGCTGTCGGGAGAGGCGAGGGGATGAAGAGACGGGTGTGAAGGGGAATAGAGAGTAAAAGAAAAAAAGGGAAATATGTAAAATACCGTAAATTATGATACCGAAAGGTATGTAAATTTAGGTTCGTTGTAAGTAAGCACATCAGGCAAAATGTGATTGAGGATAAGTACCCTGATAATAATGATAGTAATAATAATAGTAGTAGTAGTAATGATGATTATTATGCTCATGAAAATAGTAATAATAATAATATAATAATCATTAATAATATCATTATTACAACAAAAATAGTGATAATGATAATAATGATGATAATGGTAATCTCTCTCCTCCTCCTCCTCCCCTTCGCCCTCTCCCCCTCCCCTGAACCCTCTCTCTCCCTCCCCTCCCCCAATCTCTCCTATCTCTCCCTCCCTTCCCTCCCTCCTCTCTCCTCTCCCTCTCCTCTCCCTCTAATCCTCTCTCCCTCCCCTTCCCCCTCCCTTCCCTTCCCCCTTCCCCTCCCCTCTCCATCCCTCCCCTTCCCTCTCTCTCCCTCCCCTTTCCCCCTCTCCCCCTCCCCTTTCCCTGGCCCCCCCTTCCCCGCTCTCTCCAGCCTTTCCCTCTCCCTCTTTCCCCTTCATCCTTCCTCTCCCTCCCCTTTCCCTTCCCCTTCCTCGAGAGGTCAATTTCGTTAAGGTTGTGGACTCCCTCCCCTTCCCATTCCCCTTTCCCTCCTACCCCTCCCTCTTCTCCCTCTCCCTCAATCCCTTACAGGAGGTCAGTGAGGAACCCGTGGGGAAGGCGGTCGATCCCGGTCTGCGAGAGGTCAAGTTCGTTAAGTTGTGGACTCCCTCCCCTTTCTCCCTCCTCCCTTCCTCCTCTCCCCCCTTCCCCTTCCCCTCTCCCTCCTCCCTCCCTATCCCTCAATCCCTTACAGGAGGTCAGTGAGGAACCCGTGGGGAAGGCGGTCGATCCCGGTCTGCGAGAGGTCAAGTTCGTTAAGGTTGCGGACTCCCTCCCTTCCCCTCCCTCCCCTCCCCTTCCTCCTCTCCCTTTCCCCCTTCCCATTCCCCTTCTCTCCTCTCCCTCAATCCCTTACAGGAGGTCAGTGAGGAACCCGTGGGGAAGGCGGTCGATCCCGGTCTGCGAGAGGTCAAGTTCGTTAAGGTTGTGGACTCCCTCCCCTTCCTCCTCTCCCCCCTTCCCATTCCCCTCTCCCTTCTCCCCCTTCCCATTCCCCTTCTCCCTCTCCCTCAATCCCTTACAGGAGGTCAGTGAGGAACCCGTGGGGAAGGCGGTCGATCCCGGTCTGCGAGAGGTCAAGTTCCACAAGACTGTGAAGCTCGTTGATGGCCGCGCTCGTCGATTGGGAGATGTCGCTGAGGGGGTTGTGTGCCAGGATCAGTTTCTTGAGCGCGGGCAGGTGGCGGAAGCAGTTTCTCGGGAGGAGGCTGAAGTTGTTGTAGCCAAGGTCGAGGACTTCGATGGCGAGTGGGAACGAGGCGTTCTGGCTGTATCTGCCTGGGGGTGAAAGTTTTTTTTTTATTTATGTTTTTATTTATCTATCTGACGAGGCGTTTTGGCTGTATTTGCCTGGGGGCAAACACAACCAAATATATATATGTGTGTGTGTGTGGTGTGTGTTGTGTGTGTGTGTGTGTGTGTGTGTGTGTTTGTGTGTGTGTGTGTGTGTGTGTGTGTTGTGTGTGTTTGTGTGTGTGTGGTGTGTATTCTTGTAATTATGTACGGTTCATTAACTCCACCGATGTCTATAAAAGCTGTACATAAAGTGATCACATATCTATGCCTCATGATTTTATTCCCATCAATTCTCAACTCCTATCCCTGCCGACCCCCTTCCTCCTCCCTTCTTCCTCTCTCTCCTCCCTTCCATTTCGCTCCTTCCCTCTCTCTCTCCTCCCTTCTCTTTCGCTCCCCCTCTCTCTCATCTCTTCTCTTTTGCTCCACTCTCTCTCCTCTCTTCTTTCTCTCCCTCCCTCTCTCTCTCTCTCTCTCTTTCTCTCCCTCTCTCTCTCTCTCCTCTCTTCTCTTTCTCTCCCTCCCTCTCTCTCTCTCCTCTTCTCTTTCTTCCTCTCTCTCTCTCCTCTTCTCTTTCGCTTCCTCTCTCTCTCTCTCTCTCTCTCTCTCTCTCTCTCTCTCCTCCTTCTCTTTCTTCCTACTCTCTCTCTCCTTCTCTTTCGCTCCCCTCTCTCTCTCCTCCCTTCTCTTTCTCTCCTCTCTCTCTCTCTCCTCCCTTCTCTTTCGCTCCCTCCCTCTCTCTCTCCTCCCTTCTCTTTCTCTCCTCCCCTCTCTCCCTCCTTTCTTCTTCCCTCTCTCTTCTCTCTTCTCTTTCGCTCCTCCCTCTCTCTCTCCTCTCTCTCTTTCGTCCCTTCCACTCTCTCTCCTCCCTTCTCTTTCTCTCCCTCCCTCTCTCTCTCCTCCCTTCTCTATCGCTCCTCCCTCTCTTTCTCTCCCTCTCTTTCGCTCCTCCGTCTCTCTCTCCTCCCTTCTCTTTCGCTCCTTCCTCTCTCTCTCCTCCTCTCTCTCTCTCTCCTCTTCTCTTTCGCCCTCCCTCTCTTCTCTCCTCCCTTCTTTTCTCTCCCTCTCTCTTCCTTCCTTCTCTTTCTCTCCTCCTTCTCTTTCGCTCCCTCCTCTCTCTCTCCTCCTTCTCTTTCTCTCTCTCTCTTCCTTCTTCTCTTTCTTCTCTCTCTCTTCTCCTCCCTTCTCTTTCGCTCTCCCTTCTCTCTCTCCCTTCTCTTTGTCTCCTCCTCTCTCTCCCTCTCTTCTCCTCCCTTCTCTTTTCCTCTCCTCTCTCTCTCTCTCCCTCCCTTCTCCCTCCTCTCTCTCTCCTCCCTTCTCTTTCGCTCCTCCTCTCTCTCTCTGCTCCCTCCCTCTCTCTCTCTTCTCTTTCTCTCCCTCTAAAGTACCTTCAAAGACTGCTTCTCGAATATCATTGTGCGTGAGGTTGTTATTCCGCAAATTCAGTGTCTTCAGATTATCCAGGTTTGCGAAGGCCGCGTCCTCGATACTTGATGGGTAATTCTTCCTGGAAGAAATAATAACATCATTCTGGTAAGGTCAATGGAAGACATTGCGTTGGCTGGCTTTTGAGAACTTTCCTTGTTCATTGAGGTGTTTTTTTATATCAATGCATATGATAAGAAGTAAGATTAGACACGTGGTACGTTCCTCATACACTGTAATGATGATGATGACTTCCCATGCACTGGAATTCCGTGAACCAAAATACATGCTGGTTATGAAGTTATGAAGAAAGACTCAATACTATAGACGGATTTTTTTTTTTTTTTTTTTATTACAATGCGTCTAACTTACTGAATATGGAGTTCCACGAGTTTAAGGAGATTTTGACGAATACTAATACGGATTTTTTTTATTTATTACAATACGCCTAACTTACTGAATATGGAGATCCCACGAGTTTAACGAGATTTTGACTAACACTGATTTTTTCAATTACAATGCGTCGAACTTACTGAATATGGAGTTCCACGAGGTTCGGGAGACTTGGGAATTTTGTGATGCTCTTGATCGCGTTGTTGCTCAGATCCAGACTCCAGGTGTAGTTAATCTTTTCCAGAGAGAGATCGGGAATCTGCGAAGGAACAGGAATGGTGGTAATGGGAATGAAACAGTATGCGAATAGCCGTAGATAATGATTTATAAGGATGTATTCCGGTGCGTGTGTGTAGTTATGCTTATTTAACGATGTATGTGTGTATTTATCCTTAACGATGTATGCGTGTGCCTATACTTATTTAACGATGTATGCGTAAACTTATATTAATTTACACTTACACAGCGATGTATGTATGCACTTACACAGCGATGCATGTCTGTAGTTACACTTACACAGCGATGTATGTATGCACTTACACTTACATAGATATGCATGTAGTTACACTTATGTCGCGATGCATGTCTGTAGTTACACTTACACAGCGATGTATGGCGATGCATGTACACTTTATGCACTTACATAGCGATGCATGTCTGTAGCACTTACACATGTCTGTAGTTACACTTACACAGCGATGTATGTATGCACTTACATAGCGATGCATGTCTGTAGTTACACTTACACAGCGATCACATAGCGATGCATGTCTGTAGTTACACTTACACAGCGATGTATGCACTTACATAGCGATGCATGTCTATAGTTACACTTACACAGCGATGTATGTATGCACTTACATAGCGATGCATGTCTGTAGTTACACTTACACAGCGACGGCGATGCATGTCTATAGTTACACTTACATTCGCGATGCATGTCTGTAGTTACACTTACAGGATGTGTCAGCGCGATGTATAGGATGCACTGCGATGCATGTCTGTAGGCGACTGTTGTAGCGATTGTCTATAGTGCGATGTATTGCGATGCAACTTACATAGCGATGCATGTCTGTAGTTACACTTACGATGTAGTTACGATGTATGTGTGCACTTATACTTACTACATGTAATTCCCGATTTCGGCAGTCGACCTCGGTGGAGGTGGGGACACAGGCACATACGGAGCAGATTTTGGGGAGGGTGCTTCCGGCCTGGGTTGGGTGTGACGTCATCGCGACCAGCACCATGACGGTTTGGAGAAAAGGCTGAAAGAGCGAGAAAAAAACGAATTTCATTTATGTTTTAGCTGCATTGTAAATAAAAGCAAGACTTCCATACACATGTTAAATACAGTAAACATACATGTGTGTGTATATGTGATTATATATGTGTTTGTGTGTAAGTATATCTCTATATGTGTATATATATATATATATATATTATATATATATATATATATATATATATATATATATATATATATATATATATATATATATATATGTGTGTGTGTGTGTGTGTGTGTGTGTGTGTGTGTGTGTGTGTGTGTGTGTGTGTGTGTGTGTGTGTGTGTGTGTGTGTGTTTATATACATACATATATTTGAATATATGTATACACGCCAAGTAAAGTGCAATTTAAAGAATGGATAATATACACAGAATCAGTCACCATATTGTTTGATGCAGGGGGTCGCAGCGGTATAGTGAGGCATCATCTCTCCTGCTATCGGGACCAAGAATGTGTTTTTTGGGGGGTGTTCGCGACATAATACCTGCATAGAGGTATACTAACGAGTTAGAGGAATCCATACCAAAATCTTTCCGATAGGTTGGTCTAGGGTATTGTGATAAATTACCAACTGTTTGTTGTCGAAAGTTAATGTAAAACGAATTGTGACAGAAATGGGGAACTTTTTTCCATAGTCTATGTTGCAAAAACTGTAATATTCTGTTTTCTTTGACAAAAACATAACGGTATACGGGGTAACTAAAATAAACCTAGAGGGTTTTCCAACTGGTTCTCTTGCAATAGCTCGGAAGTACAGGTAATTTCCAGCTGTATACATTATGCGTCATATCCTGAATGCAAACACTTCAAGAGGCTGATATCTAGATCCGTCTCTAGATAACGGTTACACTTGTGTTGTTAGAACACACAGGGGTATTACTAACACATGAGTAACCTCTCTTATCTGATGGATTTCACAAATGCGTCATGTCTATATATACATATGAACAATCTAATTATGACATGAAAAATAGTTTATTTAAAAGAGCAGGAAACTGATCGTATGAGGAAGCTAACTCTATGCATACTGTGTGCATAAGGGAAATTTCATTTCTATGGTATCCTTTGGCCATGGGATTCACAGTGGAATTTCTTCCTTTTCTCTTTTTGTAAACAATAGATCTTTACATTACACCGGTAATCAAAATGGTGATTACAAACATGGCCAGTCGCTGACTGTCTATTAGCGAGTTTTAAGGCGACATGACCTCTGTGGGTTGACTGAATCAGAGCTGTGGACGATGTGGAGGTGAGAGGCTAAGAGGGTTTGAGGTAAAGCCAGGAGTGAGCGTAGCACGCCCCAGGAAACTTCTGACGGAGGTCAAAGAGACCTCGCTAAGCAGAGCAACTTTGAGCAGAATGAGCAGTCACCGGTAAGACTACGGACTCAGAGTAGTGGTGGCCCTCTTCTGCAGATTAGAGGAAGTGCGACAGGGCTGCTTCAGCATCAGGGGTGTCGAAAAGTGTGCTCAATGGATGTAGTAGACTTCGAGGATTGACAGTGCAACAGTCTAACAGGATACAGGTTTGGCAAGACGTATCGACGAATTTGTTTTTCAGTGCAGATCACTTGTGGAATTTTTGCAGTTAGTTTATTTTGCCTTTCATGAGGACAAGAAGGGCGACGGAGGCACAGCAATGACATAGTACGAACTGACAAACGACTCTTCAGTGGCGCGAAAGGGGTTCAGAGAGGTTTGCTTCTTCTGCGAATGAGCAGTGCGTTGAAGGCACAATCGGTGCGTGTTAAAGGGGTGAAGAAGGCGGGCGGAGAAGACGGAGACAGACCAGGAATGTCACAGCGTGGAAGAGCACATGAATGAACGCGGATAAGGGATAATGACAACATTTAGGTCTCTCTCACTTTCCCTCATCTTTCTATCTATCTGTCTATCTACCTGTCTATCTATCTATCTATATTTTTTATATCTATATACCTCCATAAATCTATCTATCTATTTATCCACCCGTCTATCTTTCTACTTATATATGTGTCTGATATGGATTACAAATCTTGATACCAGCGTTATCATAATCAATGCTGTCGTTATCATTACTCTTCCTGGAATTCTGGTATTACCTTCAATATTATTCATTTCACCAATAGTTACTCAATCATTACTCATGGAACTAAGCCTATTTCAGCGTTTTTCCTGTCATCAACAGTAAAGATTACATCACTAACCAAAACCCTGATACAATTGTAGTAACATTCATCTCCAAACTGCAAACTATCATTCACTTTATTCATTCTAATATTCATTCTATCCATATGACTAAAACTTTCAAAATGTGCTTCCGAAAATCCGTTTATGCATTATATAAATTATCGTGCATTACATTCAAGCCTCATGTTTACTTACAATGTTCCAAATTTGGATTTCTTTTTTTTTTTCTTCTTTTTTTAATCTAATTGTTCAGAAATATTTACCCTCTCCTGTATGGATTCTTCAGCAAGCCACTTACTCGTTGCACCAGGGCCTTGCTTCCCTGTCCACCCTCTCTATCAGTGAGATAACTTATCAGTATTTGCCATCGTATAGAGGTCATGGATGTGAGGTGAGCGTGGGGAGGAAACGGAAATGTCCAAGAGGGCAAATATGTGAGACGTAGGGAAGGAGGGAACGGCACGTGAGGAAATGGGAATGGAAGGGAAAGGGAGAATGAGGACAGGTGAGGAAATGCGAATGGAAGGAAAGAGAGAAATGAGGAAAAATGGAAGTGAAAGGGAAAGGGAGAATGAGGACACGTGAGGAAATGGGAGTGAAAGGGAAAGTGAGTATGAGGACAAGTGAGGAAATGGGAATGGAAGGGAAAGGGAGAATGAGGACAGGTGAGGAAATGCGAATGGAAGGGAAAGGGAGAATGAGGAAATGGGAATGGAAGGGAAAGGGAGAATGAGGAAATGGGAATGGAAGGGAATGGAAGGAAAGGGAGAATGAGGAAT